AACCCAATGGATCAGGCGGGGGGGAGAAGGGAAGGGAAGCCTGCTCAGCACACTCCGTAAGCCAGGGGTTCGCCGGATTTCCTTGGTCTCCCAGCCCTAGCTTTTAATTGTGTGTGTGTGGGGGGGGGTTTCCAAGGGTTTGCCAACGATGCCCCTTTCAGGCCTGACATTTCCGTGCCCGCCCAGTTCCATGTGCCACGCTCGCTCGGCAAAGAGGCTGAGCGCCAACCTGCACGAAGGGGGTGGCTGGATGGGACGGGGGGGGGGTCAGACTTGCCTCTCAGCTGCCTGACCCAGAGAGGCCTCCAGGAGACGAGGCAGCCGCGCAGGGGAGAGAAAGGGGACAACGCCCCCCCCAAACACTCATACCCAGCACGGCCAGTTGCCCTCCAGTGGGGCCCCTTCCATCCACCAGGGCTGCTGGGGAGGAACTGGCCCCAACCCCCCCCCCGCCGGGGAAGCTGACCATCTTTAGACCGCCCCCCCCCTTAAAACTGGCCAACCTTGCAAGCCGGCAGATCCGGGCCAGGACAGCAGCCCTGCCCCCTTCCTCCTTGCCCCTCTTCTCCCCCCCCCCTCGCTTGCTTTCTCATCATCCCTGGCAGGGCAAAGGAAGGAGGAGGAGGAGAGGAGATGATCCCCGGCTGGCTGAGGCTGAGGGGAAGTCATGCTTCAGGTTTCATTCAGATAAAAGGATCGCCATAATCAGCTGCCTTTGAAGTCGGAGACATGAAAGCGGCCCCATGCTGGGAGGGAGGGGGGGCAAGGATCCCTTAAAGGAGCCGGGAATGCCGCAGGAGAGGAGGGGCAAAGCCACCCAGCATGGGGGGGGAGGGAAAGACGTTGGCATTGAGGGGGGGATAGTGGCCCTGGGACCCCCAAACGCCATCTCTGCCAGGGCCATGCAGGACCCGCTCGGCTCCTGCGCCAGGACAGAGCAGGGCCAGCTTCTCAGCTGACCGTAATTCTCCGGCCCCCCAGAGGCATGGCTCGGTGGGGCAGACTACACGTCCCATCCTTCCCGGCCAGCAGGGTGGGGAGGCCTGCCCTCCTAGTCTCTCCCTCCCACTCTCCTTCTGCCTTGCAGACAGGACTGACTACAAATCCCAGAATTCCCACCCCATCCCAGGGCAGTTTAGCCTGACAATGGGGATGTTCCTGGAGTAGGCACCAGATCTGTCTGGAAGGAGAACATGGCAGCAGCTCTGAACAGCAGGGAGGAAAGGCAGCCCGATGACCCCCCAGGGGAAGGTCCACAGCCCCATCAGATCAGTGCCTCTTTCCCCCCCCCCAGTGGCTCAGGGGAGAGGGAGCCCTGGGAGGGGAAGCAAATCTCCCCAGGACATGACTTGGCCCGCCCAGCTAGCCGTCCAGCAAGAGGCCAGAGCCAGGCCCTCGGATCATGGCCAAGTTGGCAACTCTGGGTGGGGGGCTTCCCAGGACTGGGGGGGAGGGGCAGGGCCCCCTTCCCCACCCACCCGCACCCCACACAGGGAGCCTCATTTCAAATCAGCCGCCCTGCAAAATGTCAGGGACACCCGGAGGCTTAGCCAAGAAGAGACGCCACCACCCTCTGCATCAGATTCTGCGTGCGCACTGCGTCCCGGCCCCTCTCCTCTTGAGCACCCACCAAGGTGTCCATGCACACAGACACACCCACAGCCT